ACAGAGCAACATTCTTAAAGAGTATGAGGTACGAGCGGACATGTTCAGCAGGGTTGCAATTTTTCACGAAAAATACATTTTTGGAATTTCAAGTGAAATATTTCATTAAATTTCAGAAAAATATGAAAAATATTTTTCAAAATTAAACACAAAATTAAATGGAAGGCGACTAGATTTTGCTTTCTGGTTTTTTTAGTGCATGTTGCGTACCTAGCCCTTGAAAATTCGTCCCTCATTGTTCATACTTTCCCCAACTTTGTGAAATTTCATGAAATATCGCACGGAAATTTTCAATATCTCATATTTTTCATTTCACTCGTACAACCTTGATGTTCGACCACCGCAACCGACATTTGCGGTCTAGTTATTTCACAGTCGATGCACTATTTTTGCGCGGCGTTGCACGCTCCCGATAACCCGCGAGGAAATTCCCCATTAGTTTTTTTCCTCCGTGTATCCTCCGCTGAAAGTTATGACGGTCGTTTTAGAAAACGCGCGGAGACATTTCCTCCTGCGCGCTAAAATCTAAAACTGCGCTACAGCACTCGACCGAGGAAATCAAGTCGGCGCATTTGCTCAATGACCCTGCTGCACCCTGTCATAAGTTATCGCGGCGACCACGGCTTGCGGGTGAGTGCTTGCGAGTGCTCGATAGTGCTCTCGGTTCGTCACTCCTACACAAAACCGCGTATCTCAATTCAACATGAACCCTGAAAAGCATGGCGTTATACGAGCGACAGAGCTCATCTAAAAAATCAGTTACGCCCTTGCGCTAGAGGAGTGACGAGTTCACGAGTGGCTCGGATCCTTGTCAATATTTGTCTTAATATGTCAAACGCCCCCATGACAGTCGCCTCCTGCTCCCCAACGCCACTCCCCCGCCCCCACCCCTCCCCCATTCACCCCTTCCCCTCCTACACACACAGCACGACAAAAATCCAACGTCCAAAGTAAAAAAAATAAAAAAAAAACCGAACGGATGTATGAACTGGATCCCGTGTCTGTTGGTTTGATTCGTCTCGCGAGTGCAGCACCTGGGACTTGTGCTTGTGAAGTTGATCATTTTCAATGGCGCGCTTTGCGATAAATCGATTGATCTATTATTTAAACCTATGGAAGAGTATCGATAAATATGACGTTCCTTAATAATCGATTTTTCGCCGTAGCTTCAAATGAGGAAATATCGATAATCGATCATCCATCTTTGCGATAAATCGATTGATCTATTATTTAAACCTATGGAAAAGTATCGATAAATATGACGTTCCTTAATAATCGATTTTTCGCCGTAGTTTCAAATGAGGAAATATCGATAATAGATCATCCACGCCTCCATCATTTTCGAGTGTTATCCGATGCAACGTAACGCTCTCACATCTGTAAACGCGGGGAAATGGTCTGAAAGGGAGGGTGAGAGTTAATGTGACAACTTTCGCCACCTAACCGATACGTGCTCCTCGTATCGGGGGAGGAAAGGGTCTCCGCCCCGGCTGAAAGATGTGTTTCCGGTTCGGTGTTTAGTGCCGCTGCTCGTGGTTTTGACGTCTGGAACTTGTTGAATATAATTCACCGGGGCACGTTGAGCCACTGAATCTGCCGTCTCGAGGAGAGTTATCATCGCACGAAAGTTATTTCGACCCACTGTTTTTTATGAGACGAAAGATTATTTTCTTCGCGGAAAATGTGTATATTTTTAGGGATGAAATTAAAATATACTGTCACATCAGCGGGCTGATTGTTGGAATTGATAGGCAAATAATATTCAAAGAAGACGGAAAGGATATTGAGAGATTCTATTGGTGCGGAAGCGGGTGGTTGCAATGGACAAAATAGGTAGGTAACCAAAACAACACAAAAAAAGCGCGGGATTAGCCCTTGTGAGCTACTTAAAGTGGTTTAAAAAAAAAAAAAAAAAAAAAAAAAAAAAAAAACACGATAGACCCTATAAAGTAAGTTCATAATTGTCTCTCTTAGTCGATAGGAACCAACAATTTTAACCAATAGGATTGCTCAATACTCCCTACGTCTTCTTTGTCTATCGCTATGTCTATCAATTGAAACAATCAGCCCGCAGTAATCAACCGGTAATAAACCGCAGTAATCTGTCACAACCGGTGAGTATTACGATCCGTTTAGTAAATGGACTTCATTTCGCAATCGGGGAGTACAATTTCTAGCCCATCCGTATAAACACTCATGTGCATAGGGAAACTAATGGCACAAATATCGTTTCGAAAGTAAGCAAGATCTTGTAATTCCAAATTGCAAAATGCATAATCAAATCAATCATCCCGTGCATGCAATCGAATGTTAATTGAATAGCGATCTAGTTGAGTTTACCTCACTAATGATTCAGTAAATATAATTGTAATCACCTTTATCACCTGTGTTAAAACACCTCTTGTTTTTGCTCTCCTAGGTTCCAAAAGGGCTCCTGTGGGCCTCCTTGAGGATCCCGCATGGAACCCCTCGAGGTTCCCGGATCCCTGTTGAAATCCCACGCAAAATCCATGCGTCACCATGGGACGTCTTCAAAAGGGTTTACTACAAACCCATGTAGATAAGAAACAAATTCCGAAAAATATGTCTATCTGCATAGAAGTTTTAAGAAAATCCCACTATCTTTTCCAACCCGAGTCATGTTTTGTGCAGTTCAGTCGTTCATTCAAAGTAGATCTTGGGCGTGCGAGTCTGTCCATCCCATTATGGCCGAACTTCGATCTTAAAATCCTATCCCCTGATGGAAAAGGTTGGATTTTCTGAAACTTTGCGATGTCGATAGGCTCCCATTCTAAGAATGCGCGCAAGTGACATTCGAAATGGCAACGATGTTTCGGGTCGAGCAGCCAACATGCCCGACGCTGCTGGCTGGACGAGGGATAATAGTTTCACGGTGGCCGACTTTGATTAGCGCGCACATACGACGTTAATTTAACAGAAGGTGCCGGCCCAAGATGAAGACGAAGTTGTTTCGCCCACGGTTGCCGTTGTTATCCCGCCATTAGGTCGATTGTTGACATTTTATGCTTTTCGAATGGACAAGACAAACCTGATGTGAAATGGAGATATGTTATTGACTTATTGGTCGTCTTTGTTACCGTGCGTATGTCGGGTGGATTCGATGACAAACAAAAGGATCCTCTTGAGGTACTGATAGCTCGTCGTTCATTCCACTCGACGGAAAGAAGATGACGAGAATGAGTGACAAAGTTTTAGTATCACAGAGATCCATTTCACCTTAGTATTGCATTGTCCTGATTACAAATACAAAATTTCATCAATTGGATGATGATATAGTAGGAGCCATCGAAAATAACTACTCATGAGAGTTTTAAAAAATGCATCAGGAATTTTTTCGAGAAGCAAAGATACAATATAAATCTAGACTCGGCCAATTTTTCTACACCGTACTTCCATATTTCCTCCTCATGCCTCATTTTGGGCAAATTGTACGCACGAAGATATTTGAAACCTTAGAAACCCATATTATCACTAACTTCAGCATATCTCCTAGCTACAGCATTCTAATACTGAGGGTCGATATCGTAAAAAGTTAAAAAAACAATGCCCGATTACGTCTCTCTTATCTTCGACTGTGTTACACAAGTAGCCCTTTAATCACTACTACAAAGAAGAAAGACGGAACCAACAAAACATGGAAAGACAGCAGGAGAAAGGACGCGTGTGATGACGGCGCAGAGATACAACTATTCGTACTTGATAGATGGTAGTGTGGCATCTACAAAATTGAAGGCGCGATAGCGAGAGGCATGTACTCGTATGCGCTATGCCCCGCTCTATGCTGCCAGTAAGGTACCGCTCAGATTCGGGAGAAAAGTTAAACACATGGCCCGAATACTTTTCTCCTATCTTCTTCTCTTCTTATCATTCTTGGATAGGCATCGTTTTTCAAATAAAATTTCTTAGATATACTTTAAAAATGAAAAATTTGTCACTTTCATGGCTAGAATTGTGCTCACGTTCATGAATCTCATAGCTTGACCAAAAATAATTGTGTCTACCCAACCGCCTAAATTTTACGCTAAACAATACTATAGATGACGATGTTCTGCGAAATTGACACCGTTTGATGACATCCACTGTGCATAGCATGGTCTCCCCCACCTCTGGGTTAACAAGAATGTTTTAGAAGCAACACGTGCAAATATGTGGTTGTATAGGTTGTTAGTTGGGGTGGTGATTGGTTATTTGAAGGTGCCTTAACAGGATAAAGTCATAAAAACCTCAGAACAGCGTTGATCTCACCAACGAATGTGTTATTGCAAAACGTCATCCAGTTATGGTGCGGCATGGAAGGAGAAATTTCTAAAGTCCAGTGGTATGCATAACGAACTGTTATGCTTCATCAAAGGTGGAGAGATGACTTTCATGCATTGATGATTCTCCTTCATTTTTCTTTGTAGGCAACAGGTATGACCCGCAGCACATTGTGTCAATTATAATTTCTTCTACCTTTGTTTCATTAATGATGCACGTGAAGCTACCTGTGCAAATTTTTGCTTCACTGATCCATGGACTTGAGATGGAGGAAGTCATGGTATGCACATCCACGGTGAATGACGTCATTTAGAGTGTTCCTAAGATGGCCATGATCACACCTTCACACAGCTTTGCTTTTGAACAGATCCTATCACTTTGGGGCAGTCCTTAATCCTAGTCTGGCAGGCTTAAATACGGGGAGTTTTGAGGTAACAACTGTAATATGACTAGCGCAGCTGATGGTCCTGACGTTTATTTTCGGTCAATCGTATCGAAATGAATATTTTTTTAAACTAACAGTTGGCAACCTATTCCATGGCTGTAGCGGAGGCGGCGCCGGTAGGTGGCACTTGAGGCGCTAAACCGACGTTGCCATATTCTACCACAAAATCTATTTCCTAGTTTTTTAGAGGCGGAGTGCGAGGGTTGTTACAGGGGCGTTGGCAGGAGCGCGGAGGACCCAGCCGCGTCTTCTTCGAGTCCCCCGAGGAGCTGTAACCATGACGACTTCAGACAATCTATGTGTCTCGCTCACCAGTATAGGCAACTCTTCTATCACTACTATTGTGTTGCATTAGCAGCATTGGACTCATGAGTATCCAAAAACATATGTACACGGGGTGTCTCAAGGCTCACGTGTACCGAGTTCATCGGAAAGGAACCAACCCACATTGAGTTGGAGCTGAGAAGAAGAGGTTTGACGTTTTATCCCTGCATAAGGCTCACTGTAGAAAATAAACTTCAATCCCTCTTTTCACTGACTAACTTCTATTTTTCGACTTTCAGTTTTTGGCAGGAGGAAAGATACGGCTAGTGGATCTCAAAAACATTCTGAACTCGATTTTTTCGAAAATGTGGGTTGGTTCCCTTCTGATTAACTCGGTCCAATTAGTGTTCCATAGTTGGAGTAAATTTTGCGATAAGGAACCACTATTTCTGGCCCATTTTAGGAACAACATACATGCAATTGGTTTCCCTATGCAGATATGTGCTTTTATAAGAGATCCAGGGATTGTGGTTCCTAATTGTAAAATGTGATCCGGTTACAGTTTCGGTCAAAGTAAGAACTTTTGTTAGTAAATCATTTCCCCCCAAAACTCGTCGCTTGGCTGACAACAGGGCGCAACCACAATTTGAGATGAGCCCGAGAAAGCGTTAAGTCATGTGGACGATTGGGTTCATCCAAAGACATTGAATAGAGGTTCATTGCAAAAATTATTATGCCCATATTATGTCCGGGAGGGGGGGGGGAGGGCAACGATATTTCCGCTTGATGCTACAGCCTTAAAATGATTGTAAAATCTTGATACGACGAACATATTTTTTGACGGGAACGCGAACAGCCGAAAGGAGTTACTTTTCTGATTCAATGATAAATGCACTCCATCGTAACAGAACAGATGACTTCAAATAAATTCGAATTAAAGATCCCTTATTCTCAAAATAAATATACAAATGTTAATCGGCATGCAAAATAAGGACAAGAATATTCTCAGAACAAGAGCCAGCGTCGCAAAAAAAAAAAAAATTAAGACGAGTGTAAGAGCATTCATTACTTGGTAATGCTGAAAGGATTATCATCACGAAGAGTTATAAATGGAGCTGGCAAAATTGATATTTAAAATTTGAGGAAAGGGTTGATTTCGAACATGGAAACAATTAAATCTCCGAGGGTTCAGTTCAATCCTTACATATTTTTAGGGGGAATCGAGGATTCTTTGCATCAACAATTATGCTGCGGCAAGGATTTATAATGAGCAAAACTTTTTTTTCTCCATAAATCCTATTTGCTTCATTGTAAAAGTTGGTAGCGGAGTCGACATCTTAAGTTTAACATATATCAAACTCAGTTATATGTAGAATTCTCTTAGTCTTTCCTGCTGACGCAAATGCGTGCTCTCTTTATGATATTAGTCGAGAATAATTTCATAGAGTGCCTTAAAGGTGAACGGTTTCTAAAAATCAGGGCCCTATCATATTTGCGTATTACTTTAACTTCGCACGTTTTGCCAACTTTCCACCTTCCCACCGGTTTCTGGGAAGCTGTCGGTGGAGTTTTAGGTAAACTTTCTAGACTTTTAACGACAGGCGCACCACTCAGAATTTGTGAAACATGTCAATAAAAGAAAGTAAAAGTGAAACATGCATATCCGCATGGTGGTTGGACACCTGTTCCCATTTCAGGATTAAATTCTAACAAGAACAGAATGGAATCGAAACGCAAGAAGGAGGGAGGAAGTGTCTTTTGAGTCACTCATTGAAAGGTGACAGCCTGCCACCGAAGTGAAGGATTTCGAGCTACCCACAACTCTTGTTTCTGTGCGGGAATATTCAACAATTCGTCTTGAACGTCTCCGGATCTTGCCTAAGAATTTTCTGCCGCTCGAAGGACTGAAGCGTAGGTGAAAAAATTTAGATTTTGGGAGGAAATTGCACAAAGCATTGGTTGAAAATGCCAGTGACAATTTGTACAGCAGTGTGTCGATGTCAGATCTGTATTCATCATTCGAGCACCGCATAACCTTACAAAGGGATAAGATAAATATCAGGGGGCATTTCGTGACATTTCAGATTCCCTGAACCCAACATGAAGACAAACTAAGCTGAAATCTCGGACCACATGTTCTGGATGACGGATGTAGTTATTTTATACGTTTTTCTTTTTGTTTTTTTGATTATTATTAATTTTTTTATTTTTATTCAATTTATACAACTTGGAATTTTCACGACAGCATAAGGACCCGAGGGCCGGCGTTACAATCTGAGGAAAGATAGTTTACTGCTATTCACTAATTACAAACTTATTCATGAAGTTATTTCTTAATCTTCGCCTGTTTAACCGTGGGTTATATTCATCGGTTTTATTAACCGCAATTATTACTAATCGATAAATCTCCATCAAGAGTTAGACACCTTCATATGTATTAGTTCATTCCTTTATTCATTCATAAAAATGAAATAATACTTTCTATGCTCAACTTACTAATTTTCACGATTTCTGACAGTCCACAGATAAAGAAACCTTAGTCTCTAAAAATTCAAAATTGAATTTGAGTATAGAGTAGTATTTCACCAACTCGTTGCCACAGAAAACGTTCAATAATGTAAAAAAAAACACCCTCTAAAAATAGCGTTGATTTTTCCGTTATATCAATTTTTCGTTATTTTTAGCCTCGTAAGTACACGTCCTTACACATCACGCTCATGCATAGCACAAGGGCAGAGGAGCCCCCATGCCTCGTACATTTTTACTTTAATCAAAGCGCTATTCCACCGCCTCCATTTATTTTCCTCAAATTAGGGCACATCAGAAAATGCTCGCTTGTAACACCCATTCACTCTCCTTGAATGAGGCTTCATTCCGTGAAAAAGAATGTACCATATTACAACTTGTTGGAGCATCCTAAAGAGAGCTTGTTTCGCAATGAATGGGCAGCAAAGGCCAGATAATCTGCAATTAAATCCGCTTCTCACAGACGATCCTACTTTTTGAACCTTGTTACGGGAGGAATTAAGTTTTCATTAACGGTCCGTTTCTGCCCAAACAAGTATTGCCGTTTCCGATGAAAAATTTGACGAATGTGCAAAATGGAGCGAAGCCATGTGATCTGGAGTTTTAACTTGGCAACAAAGATGTAGGGCAATTACAAACGCCGACACTTCGTCGTGGAGGAAAGAAAGTGGCAGGTCTTTTAAAGGTAAAAAAAAGAGTGGATTGCCGTGATTATGATTCGTAATTAGTTTTCTGTCCATCTTGTCTATTCTCTAGGAAGTTTTATACGACTAATTATTAATTAATTGTCTAATTTATGCTTGCTCTTTCCACGCTGATTTGTTAAAATCAAATCTTCTATTACTACGCTTCTCTTTAATTTTTTTTCTTTCTTATTAAATGGAGAATAATTAAGATGTTTTTCCTCTCTGTTTGAAAAGGAAGAGGTTCAAATTCAATTTTATGCAACTCATCTGCATTCAATCGCTTAATACGACACGAAATAAGAAGGATACAACCTTCAATGTTTTGCCACGATGAAAATTCTAGGTTTTACATTACGACAGAGCAAATAAATGATTGAGGCTTAAGCTTTTTGAATCATCTGTATGTATACTTAACTTAACCTATAAAAGTCCTTACATTTTCAGTAGCGTGCTTCGCAAAGCAACTGGAAAAATAGCAACTTCACAAGCAAACTATGAGAGTTCTACGACGCGATTCACGCAAGTGGCAAATCCACCAACTCCTTCAGCGAAGTTGCATGGTCTTTCATTTTCTTACCTTTGCAATTAAAGTCTCTGAAAAACTAAATGTCACTAATAGCTCATTCTTGAAAAATTCGCTAAAATTAAAGCTAAATGTCACACCATATCCAACAAGTATAGAATTTTATCATGAAATTGAAGCTCCTAGAGTATCAACACGATTTATTTGGGTATGGCTACTTTTTTTTGTATAGTTTATAAACTAAGATGCATATTTAATCAGAGTTTACTCCATATAAAATCCATGTATTCCTCATCAAATGGAAAGGGGCATTACTTTTTAATCTGCCGAGAAAATTCGAATCTTGGTTTGATTCAATCGCAATACATACATTTCGACGGCGTAGTCCGCAATCACATATCTCGTTTTCGGTGTCTAAAAATCTCCGCCTCTATGTCATTCTTTTTAAAGGAGAACAAATTGATATCATTCCTTGAAGTTTTTGCAGAATTTTCTTCGCAAAGAGAAGAAAAATCACGGCAGTTTTAAAGAATTGCCGCTGAGTAGTGCCGTGCACCACGCTGCAGCACAGTAAAAGCACAATATACAAAAGAAGAAATTACTAAGCTTTGGAAATCATTAAATTAACACGGAACCACCTTAATATTTACAAAACACACATGATGTTTTCCTTTAATACTCGTACATATTTTTTTTCATCAATCAAAATGAGCTTAATTTCACGATCATGAGTTGAAAAACGCTGACTCTGCGAGTTTAAATATTAGAGCCTAACACAGAGCGGAGTGACGAGCTGCCGGCGAGAAACACGCGCTAGCGCCTACAACCTAAAGGCATAATTCAAGCATTGCGCAATGCTTGAAGTATCCCCTTAGGTTTGAAGGCGCCAATGCGCGTACCAATGCGCTGGCCGGCCGACCGTCCGCCGCGCCGCAGCGTGCTACGGCGCGCGGCGCGGCCGGAATTTTCTTCGCACGGAGAAGAAAAATTACGGCAGTTTTAAAGAATTGCCATTGAGTAGTTTTCTGTTTAAAAAATAAAGTAAATATAACAGGAAGTCTACGACGTCGCAAACCGAGTTATGTGACTGCCGACTACGCTTCGTTTCATGTGGGCCAAACGAAATTAAAGTAGATTGATCATTTAGCTTCTCATGACACGAACTAAATATGGATCATAAATTACAAATTTATTTCCGCATGTTGTATGTAACAGAAAGCGATTGCACGATCAAGAGAAAATTTGGTGGCGACTGCATGGTGTGTGGTCATATTAATATAGAAGCAGCTGTTGGCGCAGAAAATTATTAGCGGATCTAAAATAAGAAAAAAAATTTCATTGATGAACGCCGCTCACTTACTCTGCCATTTTTTTGCGAGAAACAAAATACTCCAACGATATCTGCATGAATACATACGACCTTTTGGTTGCATCTACGGAAGCATTTGCCACGTAGATGGCGAAAAGAAGGACAAAGGAAAGCGACGATTCAGATCAATCGAGTTATAAATGTACACAGGAGCTCCAAGTCCAGCTATGCAAACAGCATTTTGCATTGATTTGTGCGAGGGCTCAACTTATTTGAAGAGGAATAAAGAAAATCTGAGAGTGCGCAAAGATTTACAAGCTCTCTTTTTCTCAGAGCGAAATGGAGAAGCAAGTCACTTTGACGATTATTTTCGCCATAAGTTTCCTGTTTTATTGCCTAGTTCGCGGAGACGTGAGATATTACCCGCCAACCCTCGCAATTTCGATAACAGAGTTTTTTCGCGACACCGGAGTGCCTTTTGTCAGGATTTACACTTGTAATGACACCAGTTCTGGTATGACTTTATTTCATCGCCACTCTGAAAGCGTTTGAAACACTGTGTTCGTCTGCTTTCTGTCTTGCACTTTTAGATTGATCTTCAAAGCTCAAAAGAGACACTTTGATTTTTTTTTTTTAAAAAAAAAAGAAAAAAAGTCGTGACGCTAAAAATAAAAATGTTGGACTGAACCTAACAATTTAACCATTTAACAAAATACCGGATAGGTTTAAGGACGTTCAAAAAAAAATACCTGAAAGGTGTTACGAGGGATAAGAATTTACATGTATGACGAGAATGAAATGTAAAAAAAGATTGAAAACTTTGTGAATGTACAACACTTTAAAACGTCAAAATGTGGCTTTAGATTCGCATTTTTTAATGGATTTTCGTATGCATCTCATTATAGTTTAATTTAATTGCGTGCGAAAAAATCGAAAATTACGATTTAATATTAATAAAGTTTTGGACTAGAATACTGCGGTAAAAATCGACCTATTTCGAACTGGTACTGAGCGAGTTATAGAGATAAAACTTAAAGTAGCATCTCACGAAACCGAGGTGGAATTTTTAACGAATGGCATTTTGCCTTATAGTGAGATTTAAATGGAGTTAAGATGATTTGGTACATTCCACATTTCTCCTTCAAAATTATGTCTACATATAGAAATCAATCATGCAAGTATTGAAAAATAAACCCCATGTTTTGCTTATTCTCTATGGAGAAATGTGGCAACCAGGGAAGTATCACATTGCTATGCAAAGCTGAAGGTATTCAAGATTAAGTGTTTTAATTGACCTGGTTAATTTTCACGGTGCTTTCGCGCGTTACTCTGTCAGAGTATGCACGAAAGGGACAGGTTTTATTTTCATATGAATACGAAGACGCGAATTCAAACGGCATCTTGGCACTGTTGTAGAACGTTGGATCATATTTTCTGCACCCGCTTATATGAAATTTAAACGAGCATCTGCTCTCGTAGCCTTTGTGATTTGTGTCGCAAGAATTTGTAAAAACCGTTGAATTTTCGAAGCATGAGAGTTGAACTCCTTGCTTCATCTCCTAAACACTTTCATGGACAGCAAAAACTTGCTTTACTTTGTTCTCATTTTACAGGATTTATTCTTGCATTGGTCAAGGAGCTCGCGCTCAGAAACATACCAACTTCGACGAATTTTCGACTTTTAAGAGAAGAAAATCATCGATATGGAGTCTTGCTGGACTTGCTGTGCGAGGGCGCCACAGAAACTCTTGAACAGGTAAAATAGAAAAAAAAAAATCTGACAAATCAAAACCAGTCGCGTGATTTGCTCCGTGTATTTTATAACTTTTGTCAAAGAATTATGCAGGAACCCATAGACGTGCTAACAAAATATGTGAAGTAATTATGTTTCACGATATTTTAAGGCATTGCTTAAAGAAGAACCAAATTATCTAGTCCATCCTATCAGCATATCGACGGTGTAAGTCGGCAATTACATAACTCGTTTACGGCGTCTGAAAATCTCTGCCTCTATGTTATTTTTTAAAGGCAAACAAATTGACATCATTCCTTGAAGTTTTTGCAGAATTTTCTTCGCACAGAGAAGAAAAATCACGGCAGTTTTAAAGAATTGCCGTTGAGTAGTTTTCCGTTTAAAAAATAAAGTATGATAGGAAGTCTGTGACGTCGCAAATCGAGTTATGTAATTGCCGACTTACACCGTAGATATGGAAATTCATTCAAGATATGTTAAACGAACATTCTTTTTTTTTGTAACGCCACACATTTTACATGCCAAAATTTAGTTACATACTTCAAGACTTACCTATCAGACAAGATTGTAGTATGAATTGTGAAGTTTGATGTTCATCAAAACTAAGTCCATGGTGGGACTTAAAAAGAACTCGTCCATGAATCTGAAACATTGAGAAAAAATAATGCATCAGAACGACCTCAGATATGATAAAATATAACTTACAATGACATTCGTTTTAACTTTCAAAGTTAAGGGTTCAATTTTTCAGGATTTTTTTTTCTTCTGGGGGAACCACATACGGCACGGATGAGAAACCGCCATTATGCTAGCAAAAATCTGACGCTTTAAACAAGTATTTCTTAAAACTTTTAAAACTTTTTTGAAAAACTCACGCTTTCACTAATTTGTTAATAAAAATACGAAAAATAACAAATTAGTGAAAGCGTGAGTTTTTCAAAAATTTCGATCATTGCATTAAAAAAGCAATTCTTACCTTATTAAACATAGAAATAACACAGATAATGCTTCAAAACTATCAGAATCGATGTATTTAGGTACAAGTTAAGTTAATCCAACTTGAGACTTTGCGTTTCAGAATAGTCTCAGGCATCTAAGAGTGAAAAGGCCTCTGGATGTTCCAGTTTTCTTTTTTCAAATTTATGAAATATGAATCAGGGAGTGATTCTCTCAGGACGCAAAGCGTCTTTTGGGACTTGGTCCGCGTGTAGCGGCGAAGGGCCGTGCTCTCTGATAAATGGATTGCGATAAGCAGAAAGGAACCAAGCAACATCAGCTATTGCCAAATTTAATTGGGGAATTTAAGTTCATGAATGAAAATGATTGTGTGGATTTTTGTGCAAACTTCAGTGAATTTTTGCATAGTACGAAAAAAATTCCGTAAAATTTTTAAAGGAACCACAAAAAAAATGTAATGGACCACTAGACAAAGTACGAATTTCAGCATTCTGATACATGCTTCAAAACCAAAATTTCACGTAAAACACGATACGCACAACGAAAATTACCGAAATAAACTCCTTACGAAGATATTTAATGATTCTTGATGCGTTAATTTAAACCACCCGCTCATGAAAACTCAATGCTCTACGTGATTCACATCGCGCGCTAAACGTTTATAATGACAATCTCTGCGATATAAAAATTTGGCAACCTCAATCTTGACGCTTTGGCACAGCTACAGCAAATTTCTTACAGTTTGAACAACACATGGCGGGAAATGAACACTGCTCGATAGAGAAGATTGCCGAAACTGTTGTATAGTGCGCGATTTGACTCACGTAGAGCTTTGAGTTTCTTGTGAGCGGGCAGTTCAAATTTCTCGTAACCAATGTGAAATAAAAACTTTAATATCTTCGTTAGGAGTTGGTTTCAGTGATTTTCGTTGCGCGAGTCGTGTTCTACGTGAAATTCTGGTTAAGAAACATTTATCAGAATCCTTTAACTCGTACCTTATCTAGTGGTTCATTGTAAAAAATTAAATTACGTGGCTATATTTGACAATAGCTAATGTGGCTTGGCTCCTTTCTGCTCAACGCGATCCAAATGGACTGCGTTAAACAGAAAGGAACCAAGCCACATCAGCTATTGCCAAATTTAATCGGCTAATTTAATTTTTTACATGAAAACAGTTGTGCGGACTTTCGTGCAAATTTCAGTGAATTTTCTCCATATTACGAAGCAAATTCTGTAACATTTTCAAAGGGATCCGCACAAACGTTTTCTTGTAAAAAATTAAATTGCCCACTTATAATTGGCAATAGCTGATGTGACTTGGTTCCTTTCTGCTCAACGCGATCCAAATAATGATGGGATTTTGATGTTCGCAGACGTCTGAGCAAAATCTGTTCCATGAAAACTACGAATGGCTGCTGTTACACGAAGGGTTCGAAACTTCTGAAGACATCAAAGATAACAATTCACTCGCGGTGGAAAATGAAATCTTTGAGATGATGGGAGATTTCAATGTTTCATTCAACAGCCGGGTCACAATTCTTCATCTCGAGGAGTCTGAGCACTCGTTCTACGATCTCCATAAAGTCGGTAACGGAACGGACCTCATTGTCAGCCATATCGGAACGGGAGAAGTATGGGACCGATCATTCCTTGATCTACGGCCAGCGCGAGATTCCCTTCAAAAAATAACGATGCCAACAGCCCTAGTCGTCAGTGCATCCAAATTTATCGTTACTCACACCTTACGTAGCACTATCAATAATACACAAAAATAGCCCGTATATTTCAACTTAAAAACACAGAAAAACGGATTACTAAGGCTAAAGAACAACAAAAACAAATCCCGGGACGTTTCGGAATGGTTTCAGCCTCCTCATCGACCAGGAAACAAAAATATATAACAAATCATAAAAATCAAAATCCTTGGACCTCCATTTGTGATAGAAAAAATATGACTTTAACCGTGTGACAAAAGTATAACTTTAAAATATAACTTTTTGCCATCACAAATGGAGGTCTTAAGATTTTGATTTTTATAATTTTTTTATATACCTTTGTTTTCTGCTCGAGGAGGGGATTGAATCCAACCCAGAACGCTCCAAGGCTTGTGTTTGGTGTTCTAAAGCCTTGGTTACCCCTTTTTTTTGTGTGTTTCTCAGTCGTAGCAGTAGCGTTTGAACCTTGCATACAGGGCGATCAAAAAGTCCCGCACTACCCTTAAAACCTGTTTTCTATCTTTTCTGGCTGGCCATCTTAAAATTTTGTGGATTCCCAAAAGTTATTTCTTTTAAAATTGGAACACTAACAAACTTTCAAGTCTCTATCTCAATTTGTTTAAAAGTTACAGGAAATATGCCTGGTGCTGTTGGAGCGGGACTTTTGGATCACCCTATATAAGGATCGCAGATAAAAAGTAACATGACTAAGACCAAGAATTTTGAAAGATTAATATGAAAGTTTCCGAGAGAGTCTTTCGGATAGAGTCTAACGTATTGAGGGCAAAAAATTAGAGGGGCCTTTGCAAGACAAGAGTTAAACATGAAGAATCTGGGACAAACCTATTTCCTCTACATTGTTTCAATACCTCCCACACTTCTATAAATAAGACTCAGACAATCGAGAAATTTTGTAAATTGTGCTGACACAACGAGCGGCAAGGCTTTTCTCTCTATTTACAAAACGCCCGGAAATTTGACCGACGCAATATCTACCCACGCATGCACCAGGAATCATCTCTTACAGCGTCAGATTCTGAGTCGTCTCTCCGGCTTGTATGCAGTGGCGTGGCGTGAAGGATCGATTATCGATATCTCGCCATTTGAAGCGATGGTAAAGAATCGATTACTGAGGTGTGAGCTGCGAACATTCTGATAATCGATCTTTTTTCATAGGTTTGAGTGGCGAATCAATCGATATATCGCAAAGCACGCCACGCCACTGCTTGTATCAATTCTCTGCGTGTCTCAGTCTAATAGTGTATTCCTTGCTATCTTTTCATCTAAATTTTTACGGTAGGATCAAAAACATGAACCAAATTTTGTGAATGAATGGACTCTTCAATTCGAGATGAAGACAGAAAGGGGTTTTTAACGTTTGCCAAATCTTTTATAAGTTGTTTCCTTCGTTTTGTTTCACGTTTGCCCACGTTGTTTCAAGTTTTGCCTCCGTGGATGTGGCACCGTTTAAAATTTGAAATTCAGCTGTCTCTAATGGGCGACATGACTAAAAAACTGCAATGATTACATTGTTAAAGAAAAATGAGTCAACCCTGTTTCGCAGCTTTGAGCCCATATGTGTTGCAATTATTCAATGACACTCGTCCAACATAATCAATTTCGCGCTTTTCAAGTTAAATTTAGTGAAGTTTATTATACGTAGAAGTGCTTGACTTCGTTTAATTTCATTTGGAGAAACTGCTTCCATGTCGGCAATATTTTGGAGTTTGGCATAGGGTTTTGAAACTAGGCTAACCCTTTGCATCATATTATGTCAAGAAAATATGCAGCTTCCTCGAGTTGATTGTCTAGATTGTGAAGTTAAAAAAAAATTTCCGACTTTCATGTAGTGCTCGTCATGATCCATGAGTCATTTTTCTTGAAAGAAGTAACTTCCTCTTAGTTGCAGGGACATTTCGCTAGACACCCATGTGTAATAGGCGTATTAAATACTTTTGAATCAAAAAACCTAGAACTGTACGATTTTTCCCGAATATTAAAGACCTAGAATAAATTTTAGACTTTTCCGACGCGCTTATTGTGATTTTTAAGTCATGTTGCAAGAAGCGACGCTGGTTTTAGCTCTTGGGTGAAATTTAAAATAAATTGATTATTGCTACATGGCTACTTCGGATTTCCGGTCATTTCACTAGCTTTATTCCTTCTTCTTCCTAGTACAGGATACAAACCTATTTTTTAGAATTCGTAAGAACTCTCCAGCTAATCCGATACGATGAAAGGCATTGAACACGTTCCTGGAAGTGTGTGAAAGTTGTGTGGGTGGTATTACCGAGGAATAACGTGTGGCATTATTTGTGCAGATTCCTGCACGCGCGGCGTCCCTTAGCTGACAAAAAGACGTATCTACACTAAGAGTTGAGCTCCGGAGAGCATAGAGTTATACGGACGACAGGGTTCATCTCGAAGTGTAGTTACGTCTTTATGTCAGAAGAGCGGCGAATAAACTGTAAGTCTTGTGTCGATCTCCCGGGATTATGCGTGAATTGAACATCGTCACGTGATTTCCCTCATGATCATTCCGCATCTCTCTCCGGTTTGTCCGTTTTGCACGGTTCCACGGCCGTGATGGGGTGAAAAACATGTGACGCATGTTGTAACCGGAGACGAGGAAACCGGACTTGCGTATTATGTCGATTTTATTTCGAGTAGAAAGTAAGTACATTATTTCTTGCTATTTAGCTGTGTGGTGAGCAGTAACGCCAAATTAACGCCGTCGAAGATAAATGACTGGATATATAATAATCTGAGCGATGTTTGAGATATTTTGGGTGGATATTGTCGATTACAAGGAAAATAGATTCGTTCAATAAAAGTTTCCGCTCAGCCGCTACAAGGTCCACATCCTGAAAAGTACACGTTTAAAGTGTCACATTCTGACACGTGTTGTGATCAAGGATGAGGAAACTGGACTAGCGCGTTTTTCCGGGTAGAGAGAACATTATTTCGTGGGGTATAACAGATGACAAGGTAGGATGATCACGGCATTCCGTTAGAAGATATGCATCAGGTAAATCCCGAATGAAATTGCTTGTTGCATACACGAGATAAAAATGAATCAATAGATCTTACATTCGTATAACCGCCTAAAAATTTGAGCGAGCTACGAGCAATTGAGGGGCTTGGAGGGCAAGGCGCGTAAGTGCAGATTTTGAAAAAATTGAGTTATTAATGAAGTAATGTAAAACTAGTCTTATTGCATATGCTGTGAAAAATTTTCTCCCAAATTCCAATTTTTAAGCACCAAAAATTCAGTTTGAACTCTCTTTCCGCCATAAGGATCCATGTAATTTCAAAACTTCAAACATGTATTTCTCGAAATAGCAAAAACTGCATTTATGCGCTTTGTCTTCCAAGCCCCTCAATTCTACCAGGTTCGCTTTTCCTCTTTCACACGTTCAGTATACGTGATCCGTACCAAATATACCATGAAGTGATAGATCTATGTATCTCCATGCAGAATTTACATCCTCAAAATTCGATTACATTTTTAGTGCAGGTTCCCGGACCAATTCATCTTCACCGATGAACTTTACGATATTCATTTGGACATTTTACCCAGACTCCATTACTCGCTGCTCGTCAATTTGATCGATCAACTCAACGTCACGTGAGTGAAAGCACATAATGCACGTGTTACTTGGACTATATTTTGCAACTTGGAACTACAATTCCTGGCTTGGTTTAGAAACAACACATGTACCATTGGTTTTCCTATGTACGTAGGAGTTTTTACGGGAAAGCCAGAAATCGCAGCTTCCAATTGCAAAATGAAGCCCATGTATGACAATAATTTTATCTTCCTGTTACGTCCTGGTTTCGTGGAATTTGGGCAATTTGAGACCGACTGATTTCCTGAGCTCCTCTTGGAGGACCAGAAAATGCGAGAAGAGCCTGTCAAAAAAAATCTTTCTGTGCGCTCTTTTGGGGGTATTCAGGGATTTTGTTTTGAAATTTGGACTGAGCCATACCAACGTTATGATGAAAAAATCCTTGAGTGAAAATTTCTACTCAAGGCTCTGTTTAGCAACACAGTGTTGCAAAGTTAAAGTGTTTTACCATCGAAAAATGCTAATATTTTGAGGATCCTCGGTTGAAAAAACGACTTTGGTTTATCCCTTTTTATTTTTTGAGGTACAGTATTATAAGGTAATATTTTACCCCAATTTTTTAACTCTATGGCCCGGTCTCCACACGACGTTTCATGGAATTTGTCTTAGGGAAAAATTTCACTTGCGAAGTTGGGAAAAATATTGAGTCAGTAAATACTTATCACAGTACCCAGTTGAGTCCTTGCGGAGTCCTAAAAGCGAATCAGATAGGAGAAAAGGACATTTTGTTTTGTTTAACGAAGAAAAAGCCAGGGAGTTTTATTCCTGCGATTCGAAATTGGAACAAATCCCATGACACGTCCTGTGGAGACAAGGCCTAAGCAATTTTAAAAATTTAACTCAGAGAGAAACCAATCAAGAGAAAGTACCGGAATTTTGTGTTCTACTTCTCACATCAACACAAAACTGTCACAACCCTTAATTTTTACGGCGTTTATTTTGGTACAGGATCGATCTGCGGTTCGTCTACGACTACGGCTGGATAAACGAGTCGACGGGGCTGTTCGACGGGTACATGGGGCTCTTCCAAGACGGCCAGATCGAAATTGGCACCAGCGGAGTGATAATGAGGGAAGACCGATACCAAGTTATTGATTACACTGTTCAGATATACCCACTCGAGTAAGCACTCTTTATTAGCTCATATGTTTCCAGATCCATAACCCCGGTCACCCCCGCCCTCCCCTCTCCCGATGCCCCATCTGCTCGCCCCCGACCGCGCGGAGTTCGCTCGCCCCTCCCCCGCGCCCCCGCACCCCCCGATCGCGGCCGATACATTGATACCTGCTGTGCTATTCAAACGAAAACATACATACACAATTTAGAGGAGCCGAAACGAAACAAAAGCATCTTACGGGAGCGCGGAAAGCGTTTCCCGCCCCGGCGGTGGCGTTTAAATTGACCGCGCGCCAGCGGAAATGCCGGGAAGCAAGAAAAGTCCGCTCTAATAGATGCCGGTTATTGCAGGGCTTTCAACCCGATCCCGGAAATTAGAGGTGGAATCCGCACCCCGGTCGGAGCCGTTAAAACTGCATGATCGTGACCGCGCGTCGCAACGACTCCGCGTTGTCATTCTATTTTATCGTATCGTCCTTTTATCCACCGATACTTTTCTTGTTATTTCTTCTTCTTTTTCACCGAGTAATTCAAGGTTGCCACAGAATTTAAGAAATGAAAATCCCTGACATTTCCCTGATTTCCATATCACGTTTTGGAAAAATTCCCTGACAATCGAAGATACACCAGACGGTTAAAAATACACAATTTGAAAAAAAATTCACGCTGCTGTTTGAAACATCAAACCCATTCTAGAAAGTAAATATGGGTGACAATAATTATAATTATAGGTAGCAATAATTATTCCCTGAAGTTTTCGTCATTTTCCCTGACATTTCCAGGTTTACCCTGACTTTTGTGCGGATTTTCGTGCAAACTTTAGTGAATTTTCTCCATTGTGCGAAGCACATTCCTTAAAATTTTCGAAGAAATCCAAACAAACGTTCTGCCGTAAAAAATTAAATTGCCCAGTTAAATTCGGCAATAGCTGATGTGCCTTGGTTCCTTTCCGTTAAACGCGGTTCAAATTAAACAATCAAAGTGGACTCACTTGCACGTCAATAGATTGAAAAAGAGAAAAGAAAAAAAAGCAGAGAAAAAAAAAGAAAAGAGAAAACCAAGATCAGTTTGCCTTTATCAGAGTGGATTGAAAGGAAAAATAATGCAGGATATCCCGATTTGTTATCACTGTAGGTATTTTACACCAGCACACAAACATTTGCCTGCAGAGTAAAAATAAATGCTTGCCCCAACCTCAAAAGATAAGGGTGGGCCCTTCTCTCGATGAAGTGAAACCGCAAATACATTAACGAATTCGCGTCTCAAATTAGTCTATGGGGCTCTATTATTGTGAACGACCGTTGACGTTCCAGGAAATGACCCTGTTTTGTTGCGAATTCATTTACTTTTCCTCGAAACGGTTCACGTGTCCCCTTTCCAAGTGATAGTTTAACCCACGGTCAACACACGCACACCCACGCAGTTTACTGCCGTGCTAAGGAAAAACGCCGTATGAACAATCGAGAGTTGTCAAATTTCCTCTGATAAAATGTTAATTTTTAAGGAGCTTTATGAATATTTTCTCTTGAAATTTTCAGCAAATTCAGATCTAATAGTGAATGAAATTCTCTGAAAAATTGGAGGAAAAACGTTCTCAAATTTCCCGGAAAAGTCGTATTTTATCAAAGGAAATTTGGCAACGTCTGAAGGTTCATACGGCGTTTTTCCTTAACATGGCTGCATATACCATGAACTTGAGCATGAATTGTCCGTGATTGCTAATGAGTAGCCGAAACTGGAATTGATTCAATTAAATCATCCACAAGTGGCCCACCCTAAGAGGGTGAAAATAAACTTCTGCGAATACTTAGCTGCGCTTTATTCTGTGGGCTATTGGTGAGTACTTATTCATTAAAATGATCGCAAAACGGTAAAAGCTGGTTTCCAGTTCGTTGAACCGGTCCCAATCGATTCAGCTATTGAGCCGTAAGGGAAGGGGCGGAACATTTCAAATAAAGAGTAACATTGCTTCATTGAAATTTGTAGAAATCTCTACAACACTTTTTATTCTTTTAGTTACTTAATATGGATTACATTTTGCAATTTGGAGCTAAAATTTCCGGCGAATCTATTAAAGCACCTAATCGCGTGGGAAATCCAATGGCACACATGTTAATTCTAAATTGAGCCAAAAGTAGTAGTTCCTAATTGTAAAATGTAGTTCATATGTTGCTGCTCAGCTGTCGCAAAACTTGTAACCAAGTTTCATCGTTGACGGGTATTTTACCAAGATGCCCGAATCGGGTCAAATTGAGCCAAAACCTCCTAAAAATAGGTGCCTCGCGGGTTGTTTGGGACCAGTAAATGCGAGCTTCAGATAAAGTTCTCCAAATAAAATAATCAAACATAAAATTGAAAGAAAAAAAAATCGAATGCCTGGGAACTTTTTTTGAAAACCACCCCTAGAAACCCCAAGCCGGGTAATACATACCTCACCATCTCTTCTGGGGGAGTTAAAGTGCGAGTAAATACGAGCTTTAGATTATAGAGCCACACACATATTTTAAGAAAAGAATCAGACATCAGATTAAAACAAAGAAAAAGTAAAAGTAATCGAGCCTCGTTTCTCGATTTTTCTCCTGAATCTGAGCGACACCTCTTTGGCAGCTGGCAGCATAGAGCGGAGCATTGCGAATTTATGCAAGCCATGGCGCCTTCAATTTTGGAGCTGCAACACGGACATCCATCAAGCTCGAAAAGTTGTATCTCTGCGCCGCGCCGTCAACAACTCGCGTTCTCTCTCTAACGCCTAGTTTGTTCACGATTGAGTATCGCAAAATGATGTTTTTCATACGTGTTTTGCTTTCAGAAGTGTCACAATATTTCGGCAGCCATCCCTAGCCAGCGTTTCGAATATTTTCGCGCTCCCTTTCGCAACGTCTGTTTGGTTAAGTATCCTGGGCTTCTGCTTGATGGCAGCTGTTTTCTTCTACCAGCAACTATTCGCGGGGCGTCGCTACGATTTCGAACACGGCTACCCGCATGCTGTTTCTCCCATCGGCGTCGGCTTCCTCATTTTGGGTATTATGTGTCAACAAGGTACCAACCATTCAAAAAACTTGAAAAAATCTTTGTGAATTTTCAAATTTTAAGCACTGGTCTTTTTACAATAAAAAACTGCTTATTTAACCACCCCTGTGGTTGAATTAGCTTCTCATTATTGTAAAATTTACATTTGAAACATGTCGGACATATTTTTCAACAATTTAATTGTTAAATCAGCAATTCATTTATTCCGTGCAGCCCACTGCAGATTTTGATTTTAAATAGATACCTCGATTTATCTACTCGAGTCTTAAGGATTGATAATAATTGAAAAATATAAAAAAATCGCTGCCGAATATAATTGGGAACGCATCGTTTTGCAAAAAAATGTCACTGTTTCCGCTCCAGATCCTTGATTTTTATAATCGAACGTCCGGTTCACACTGATTCATCGAGGCGTGAGCCGATGTGTCGGGCATTGTTGGCGGGCGCGAAAACATGTGTTTGAGAAGGAGATGAAGGCAGAATATGAATAAATAATTGAAATCCAATACCGAGCTCTGTTTTCAATTTAATTCGAGACTGACATCGAATCCACCCTGTCGGTCGGCGAGGCGGGACAGCGGTCGTCCCGCGAAAGTGTTTTGTCGCACCGACCATCAGTTTATCTGGCTAATATCAATTAGGTGGTCCGACCTAGCGAGCCCTCAACTGTTGCGTTTTGCAGACAATCGTCATCGATACGATGTAATGCTAATGGAGTTAAACCACTGGGGCGGAGGAAGTGAAATAAAATTGATTGGTTTCATTGCCGTATAATGAATCCTAGCATATGGATTCATCATTCCTCGTAGCAATTTATACACTAACCTGTTACATCAAATTACGAACGAACAAATTGGAAAGGTAAAAGTGGTGAATGAAAGAGGTCGAGAAGCGCTGTCTTGTTACTGAAATATCTCAAGTTTAAAATTCTTTGATTTGAGGATTTGGATTTCGAAGCGAGGGTCATCGGAGGAATTTTTTAAGGATTACATGGTATGGATTTTCTGGCATAAAATATGGCATGTAAGGCATATTCCGACCGTGAAACTACAAAAAATTTGTGCTTGGGTTACGGTGTTTCAAAAACTCCATTCTTTTTACACTTTGTGATTGGAGAAAAAACTAACATTATAGCTCGAGATTTTCACAGAATGGTCTCCACAGAGAAAAAAAAATCACCAATTTTTCAAAAAATGACGGTGATTACACTGATTAGTTTTCCACGCAGAGAGTAAAACTGTGACTGGAAGTCTAAAACGACGTTACGAAGCGATTAACACTTTTCTAAATTTCACCATTGATTTGTTGGTGCACATTTAAAAGATGCTGAAATAATTATTTCTTTTGGTCATTTATCTTAAATAACTTTATGTTTACATTTTTAATGTAAAAGCGAACAAAAGAGCTGAAACTTTAAAACTAAGGAAAAGAAGAATGATTATTATATTTCCTAATATTACTTTACTTAGACCCATCATACTTGTGAAAGAGCTCGAGAACAGTTCCTTTAGGGAGGTAAAACAAGACAGTAACGCAGCAACGTTGCAAATTCGGGAAAATTGATTTTAAGTGACGTTACTACATCGACGGTGAAATCGCAAACAACGCTTGCCTCGTTCACGGTGATACGGAATCTCATTCGCTACCATTTTACTTAGGTGACCAAAACAAGACAAATTGTCATCATATCTTGAAATCCGTGAAATACTCAAGGAATGATATCAAGTATTTTTCAATTTTTAAAATAAATTAACACAAGGGTGGCTTCAACACTGCAAAGCGGAATACGCGTTTCTGAAGTTGGAATACATGGCCGTGCTAAGGAAGAACGCCGTATGAAAACTCCAGAGTTGCCACCTTTCCCCAGATAAAACTTGTATTTTTAAGAAAAGTTGTGGATATTATTCCTCGAAATTTTCAGATTGAATCATGAACGAAACTGTCTGAAAATTGGGAGAAAACGATGTGCAACTTTTCCAACGAACTCGTATTTTTTCGAAGGAAATTTGGCGACGCTTGAAGGTTCACACGGCGTTTTTCCTTAACGAGCTAGTATATACTGCCGTGCTAAGGAAGAACGCCGTATGAACATTCAAGAGTTGCCAAATTTCCTTCGTTAAAATGTTTATTTCTGAGAAAAGTTATATTTATTTTTCTTTGAAATTTTCAGGAGCTTTGGGCGAAATTGCGGAAAAAAATATCTGAAAAATTGGAAGAGAAATATTCATAGGTTTTTCAGGAAATTCGTATTTTATACATGGAAATTTGGCAACGCCTGAGGGTTCATACGGCGTTTTCTCCTTAGCGCGCTAGTATATACTCCATTGACGATTCGATGAATCCGACAGGTGTATCGGAGACGCCAACCTCCCTCTCGAGCCGGTGCACGCTGTTGATGACACTCATCGCCTCGCTTTTATGCTACACCACTTACTCGGCCCACATTGTGGCGCTCCTCCAAAGCCCGAGTCACGTGATTCAAAACGCAGAGGACCTCCTCCAAAGCCCCCTTTCCATGGGGGTCGGCAACGCCACCAACTTCAACAGAATATACCTTCAGGTGAGAACCCGCACTGAAAAAAAAATCTCGGTGTATTTACTAAGAAAAGGGTAAAATTACCAAGAATTCAGGGTTCTATTTGATCCCAGTTTTTTCTTGGTAAAATTAGCATTTATGGAATTGGTAATTTTACCGAGAAATCTCCGTAAAATTATTAAACTTTCTCGGTAATTTTACTGGACCTTGGTAAAAACGCCAATATTTTTTATCGACTGTGGTAGAATTACCGAGATAAAATGGCAAAGTTACCGGGAATTGATTACCAATAAAAGTGGTATTCTTGCCTGAAAAAACAGTAAAAATACCGGTTTTTAGGTAAGCTTACCAGTCTGCCTTGGTAAAATTACCAATAATTGGTAAAAAAGTGAGATGGTAAAGGTACCAACGGACCTTGGTAAAAACGCCGAGAATTTTTTTTTCAGTGTAGTGAAAACTGGACCGAGATCATCAGAAAGGATCAAACCTACATTTTAGAAACAATTGAGTTAAGAATGTTTTTGAGTTCTTCTGGTCGTATATTTTCTCCAGCAAAAAACTCAAGGTCGACAAAACAAATTAATTTGTGAAAAGAAGGATTAAAGTTTATCTTCTACATTGCGTTTTATGGAGGAATAAACTTCAAACCTCTTTTTCTGATTTTTAACTAAATGTGGGTCAGTTCCATTTTCATAAACTCGGTCCAATTGGAAATACTTTGAGTGCCTTAGTTTAAACGACGACGGTCCGTGCATAAAGAATAAAAATTACACCGGATTGCTTATAATTACTTAAATCAAAGTTAAAAATAGTTTTATCGTAGTTGAATCTTGGAAAAAATTGAAGATAGACTTGGACCTATAATTTTGACTATTTCATTCACTATCAAAGTGCGTCGGCAATTTCAAAACTCACGGAGTTGTTCATAATGAAGTCATTCTTTCAATGAAACACAAAAATACAGGATCTCGTGATAAAATGTACATTTTGATGCTGTAAAAAGGCTTGCAAAAGCGACAGTACTTAATTAAACACGCCCTCCTGTCGAAATCCATTGGCGAAATCTGCGAAAGCTCACTGTTTACCGCCTGCTTTGAAAGTGATTTTCCGAGAACACGTCCTTTTTGCAAAGCAGACCCTAATAATGAGTGATTTTCCAGGAATCAAATGAGACGTTCATCAAAGCGTTGTACGATATAAAAATAAAACCTCAAGGGGAAGACGCTTACAGGGCGCCTGCTGAAGGTATCGCCAAAGTTCGTACGGAACTCTACGCTTTCCAGGTAATGCATTTTGATGATGTAACTACCAAACGTCGCAAATCTCTTGTCAGATTTAACTTTTCTAAAAAAAAAAAAAAGCCTGATCATCGTTTTTGCTCAAGATTTTGTGTGGTTTTCTCCGTTCTTTCAACAATGCTTTCTGAAAATTTTGCGAAAAAATACGAAGCAGTATTTTCTTGGGGGAAAAAAAATTATAACAACAAAGAAAAAGCAAGATATTCGAACTTTTCAATTGAGATTCAACGAGACTTTTGGTAGTTTCTCCGTCGATTTATCTTTTGAAAATTGCTTAAACTACAATGGTGACTGCTCATCAGTGATTGATGGAGATTCCTGTAAATTGACAAGACTGCTTTGATAGTTTCTTTTATTGTCGGTGAAGTTGCGCACCACGGTGGGCCAAAAAACTGCAGCTTTTTTTCAAAAATCAAAACGCAATAGTTTGAAAAAGTTCCGTTTTGCCATCAGTTGGAAGCCAAGCAGAGATTATTCAATTTAAAAAATATAAAATAATATAAAATATAAAATAAAAAATAACTCAAAAATAAGATGCGCTTTACGGGGTCTCCTGGTTTCTGGGATTCCTGCAAATTGACAAGAATGCTTTAATAGTTTCATTCATCGTCCATGAAGTTGCGCACGAGGGTGGACCAGAAAAATGCAGCTATTTTCAAAACTCAAAACGCAATAGTACGGGAAAGTTGCGTATTGCCATCAGTTTGAAGCCAAGCGAAGAGTTTTTTTTATTTAAAAAAAAAAAAAAAAAAAAAAAAAAAAAAACACACAATGCGCCCTTCGGGTTGGTAAAAAATCTTGCAAATAACCTCAATTTTTTTTCTTTCAAAAACCCATCGGTAGGCTTCAAATTGATGCCAATACGCAACTGTACCACACTGAAAAAAAATTCTTGGCGTTTTTACCAAGGTCCATTGGTACCTTTACCATCTCACTTTTTTTTAATAATTATTGGTAATTTTATCAAGACAGACTGGTCAGCTTACCTAAAAACCGGTATTTTTACTGTTTTTTTCAGGTAAGAATACCACTTTTATCGGTAATAAATTCCCGGTAATTTTGCCTTTTTATCTTGGTAACTCTACCACATTCGATAAAAAGTATTGGCGTTTTTACCGAGGCCCAGTAAAATTACCGAGAAAGTTCAATAATTTTACCGAAATTTCTCGGTAAAATTACCAATTCCATAAATGGTAATTTTACCAAGCAAAAACTGGGATCAAATAGAACCCTGAATCCTTGGTAATTTTACCCTTTTCTTAGTAAATACACCGATATTTTTTTTTCAGTGCACACTGTCGCGTTCCGATTTTCGAAAAAGCGGTTTTCGAGGCACCCTATTGTACACGCGAGCACGCTCAAAACAAAATCAGGGACGCAAAGCTTCCAATAAATCAATGCAGTTGGATTGGCGAGGCAGCTGATCCCTCCGGAGACGATCTATTACCAGCTGACGAGGATAATTTTTACAAACTCGGAGATTAGAACGGTTGTCAATCCCCATTCCTGACATGGCGGCCGTCGCGTCGCCGCGCGCGGAACTTAGCCGCGCTCCCGCTTTTATTTTCCAGCTCCTCTCCCGATTCCCTGTCAGAAAATTATTGGAGCATATTTGATATCGATTCGAGGAAATTTATGTAAAAATATGGAAAACGCTCCCGCCAACCTTGTCAAAACGCTTTCGTATTTATTTATTTTTCATTGCGCGCTTTTTTTCTGGCTTGTTGGGTTGCTTTCGCTCTTCTTCCGCCGAGCGAGATTTATACCGGTGACGATGGTCTGATGCGGCGCGGCGTGCTCCCCGCTGCACGCGAAGATGCAGGTGTTTTGCACAGCGATAGAGCTCCACTTGTCATTTTGCGCCGCCCGCGCGCCACCTGGTCCGTCGCTGATCCCCATGTGCCCCCCACCCCCTCCCCCTAACTCTAACACCCCCCCCTCTCCAACTAAAAAACCCCTTGCACTGCCCGACCGTTTTGGCGTGGGCAAAAATTAGCGCACTGTTAAACTGAGAGAAAAAATGTGATGGAGTCGGTCGAAATGCGTCTCGGGGTAAAAAATAAAATTAATATAAATAAAAGTGAGATAACTCTCTATCAAAGCTGAGAAAAGTTTTTTTTTATTTTTATTTTATTGGAGTGATCGGCAATCCGCTTGATGAGTGTTCGGCACTCTGTATCCTTTGGCGCAGATAATACCCAAAAGTTGAGCCTCCGAGAACATTTTAAAGTTAGAAAACGATAACATCGGGAATGTAGGAGGCTCGCTCAGAACCGATCCATTTCAAATATTTTTTGACTCATGCCTTGAAGTTTTGACCCGATGTGTTTTGCAGTATTTAGAGACGTTTAGTTTTATAAACTGAATTTATGAATTTAATACAGAATTAATTTTCATGCTGCACCTAACAGTTTAAGGTCCACCATTAGACAGTTTTTTTTTCCGATACCATCACGAACAATAAATTATGCAATTAGCTAAAGTAAGGAGCTCACTGGACCTAGGTAGATGGCACAAAATAGGAAAATCAGACCAATGATTTTAACCTTCAAATGCCAAAGCCGCGTAATATTGACCCGAAGTTTGCTAAACAAGTGCCCTCCGTGAGTTTTATGGGGCTAGTACATTCGAGATTTAGATGTAAAGGTCTAAAAATACATCGTAAAAAAGAATCAGACACAAATTGAAAAAAAAAAAAAAAATAAAAAAAATAAAAGATTGAGCTTCAACACAGCCAAAGATAGGAGAGACGTATTCAGGCCTCGTTTCTGAACATTTCCCCCGAATTTGAGATACACCTCATTGGAGGCACGGAGCGGATCATTACGAGTTCACGCCTCGCGCCGTAGCGCCTTCAATTTAGCGGACGCAGCACGGACATCCATCAAGCACGAATAGTCGTATCTCTGCGCCGTCATCGACGCGTGGCGCGTTTCACTTATTTAATTACCATGTTGTAATTGATTTCGTTTTGGTTATACTTGTAGCGGTTGAATTTTTTGAAATTGAATGAACATTTCCTTTGATTGAAAGACACAATTTGAAGGTATTTGAAGGAAATTATATTTGCGTGTTTGTTTAATTTTCAATTTGAATGAGTTATTCTTCTTTTTTTTATGGAAATGAGTTTCTTGATCTGAAGAAAGTTAAAAACGTCCATCGATGACATACGTAGTTTCGTTTCTGCGAATTGCAAAGAAATCTTCATTTGAATTAATTGTAAATTAATTTCATTAAAATTAATATTTTTCTTAATATTATTTCTATTTTTCTTATTTTTCTTCTAAAATAAAAAAAAACTTCATTTTAATCTGTTTAAAAAATTTTTCTTCTCTCAATTATTTATTTTCAGTAAATGTTCTAGAAAATCCAAATTAAACCGAATGAGCACAACTATTTAAGCAGTCCGTTTTTCGATTGTCGTATCAAGAGGAGTCATTGCTCACAAAAAACATCGGGAGGGACCTGAAATGATAGAATTACCCGACTGTTTATTAAACATACTTTAGTCATGGATATTCAAAAAATGAAGGGGAATAATTTTTTTTTTTTTTTTTGCCTCGTTCATTTTTCCTTTTTCATGTCCCACAAAACTTGGCGAGAATCAACTCGAGACTCATAGACAGTTACAACGAAATCTCTTTGAGAACTTCATGACTCCTTTCTTCGAAGCGAGCTCTCTATTCTCAAGCTTGTTTTCCGTCCAATTTCTCACAAATTGTCAACAAGTAATTCATTAAAACAGGCTCCTTCCAATATAAAATTGAATTAATTACCAGATTTGTAAATCAGTCAGGATGTAAAAAATTGAAATTATTTTGCTTAGTTTGCACTCTAACGGGCGTTAGTAATACAAATTTGAATCGCATCAAAGCTGTGGCTTTTACAGAGGAAACAGATTAACAAAATAAGTAAAAACGGAATTTGAGAAAAAAGTGCTTCAACCGTTTCAATTTCCCAGTGGGATGAATTCTGATTCATCGCGCCATGTGAGCGCTCCATTACGAAATGAAAACATGACAACACGAAGGGGCGTGGGGGTGAGACATGGAATACGATCGTGAAATTTTACTGTGCTCATGGGAGGAGGGTGGGGAGGGGGGGCTTGAACGTCATGATTTCATTCCACAACGTTAAATTACGTAATTAAGCGTTGACATTTGCTCTTCTTCTTTCCCTATTTATTTTCACGGATCTCGTAAAGCGATAATATTCGCACGTAACATTCAGGTTAACCGAGGACAGATCCTCCATTTAGTCTCGATTTAGACCATTGGTTGGATGTACATTGCGCGTAAACTTGTTTTAAAAATGACTTTCAAAGATGCAATCTCATTAGAAATATCCGCATAGCTTAGACCCGAAGAAAACTTAACTGAATTCCACTCGCTTGATGAAGAATCAAAGCCTGAATACTCTTGTGAAATGACTTTCTTACATTAATTCCTGACTAAAATTTGACATGAGAATATCTCCACCTAAAACTTCATCTTTGCAAGAGCATTACTACAGCTAAATGAAGGTATTTCTATCAAACGGAACTATGTGCATTGTAAGTGAGCCCTGTAATGCATATATTCTTATGGGTCTCAGGGCTCATGTCTAAATGCACATAGTTCCGTTTGGCAGAAATCCGTCCAAATAGTAAGAGGAAAAAGGCAAAAATTGTCCGGGGAGGAAGTTTAAAAAGTATCCAAAAATGCTCTATAATCCATCAAAATTTACCAGTGTTGCCAAAAGAAAGTCGCACGTAAAATTCAAAGAGCGTGTTACCCCTTTAGATCCATATAAATAATTACACCTTGTCTTCGTTTTTCATGCACAACAATAAGAGATGGACAATTTTTCAAAGTTTTCACGCCTCAATATTTTCCTCGCGGTTTTAAATGAGGCATGTATACTTTTTTCTCCTTTCTTATCCCCGGAAAATTCAAAATCCAGCGCATCTAAAATCAGCGAGCTAAGGCTGCTATATCAAAAAATTA